TAGCAAACTGACTTCCAGAAGTCCGTAATCGCTTGCTAGTTCTTCGTTGTTAATCTTAGCTAACAAGTTTTCGTAGGCAACCCTTAAATTTATAGTTTCTTGTTCTTCGAGCGAGAAGCTGTTTGAGTTCCTTCCAGAAGAACAATTTCTGAGAAAGGCCTCGGTCTCCTCAGAAGTGGTTAGCCCATGTCCTTCCTCCAAGTTAACATGGTAAATAAAATTGAAGAGAAACTGCTCCTCTACCTTAAGAGAGAGAGTGAGAGAAAAAAATTCTTAAATCAAGCTTTCCGACACAAACCATTGACAAAACCACGAGCGACTTTTCAGTGATGGTGAAAAAAGCGAAGTTTCAAGCAGAGCGTTTTAACTTTTGGTTGAAGTGAACTGGGTTTGAGCGATAGGAGCGAAGTGATCGCACTTCGTATTAAGAACACTTACTTTCTTGACCAGCTCCTCGTTGTATGTATTCTTCGCGCTGGCTTGTTCCCATCTCGTGTGATACTCTTTGATCTGAGTAATCATTTCTGTAACCGTCTTCGGTTGCCTTTCATTCGTACGCGTTTGCCACGGCGGATTCTCCAAGGCGTCAAATGAAATATGGCTTTTTACCGGATACTCAGTAGTTTTACCCATGACTTACGTGTATGCTAGACTTCAAATGGTGCCGAAAAGGTTTATATCTTCAACGAATTTACTTCAGGGGAAAGAGTAATCGTAAACAAATACGAAATAGGCGCAATTGCTGCGCAGCAACCGTGGAAGCAATGATGACGTCAGAGATTAAAAATGGACAGATCAGAAACCATAAATGGAGCATTACTCATCGCACACGTGTAAGCTCCCACGCAGACGCTTCATGTAGTCCTTCCCCACCGGAACACTGGGAAGGAACACTGAGAGAGTCTGCGTCGTGTAACAGTCATCAAACTTGCTCAACCACATGCTTCTTTCAAAGATGGCGGATTCCAGGAGTAAACCCGTACGCGAGAGTCAACTCGATAAAAAACAGGTTCACAATAGTTTAGAACATTGAAACTAAGTGTTTTACATCATTTCATTTTTACTGGGTATAACTGTGAGGTTTTTGTATGACGTCTATTTAGGTNGTACGAATGAATGACAAGTTACCCCTTAATTTGTCAACACTTTGTTTGCACAAGCCTTATTTGCCTGTGTCAACCAATTTGACGAATTTCCCTGCATAAGTTTTAAGCTGCTATTTATACTCATTGTATTATGGATTATCCAATAACATCATGGTTTTGTTGAAATTCCTTGAGTTTGTTGTTGAGTGGTGCGCACAAGGAAGGCTTTTTTTGCCATATGAAATCTTGTCAGTGAAAATCTACCTGTATGATTTATTAGTCAGTAGACTACACTGTATTTGATTTGCCACTTTGAAGTTGACTCCAGTCACCATTGTGAATTCAATATATTGGGAGTCCATAAGGTAAGAATGATATTGTTTTATTTAATTTCTTTTTTTTTTTTTTGCTTTCTACTGTTACTAGGTCATTTCCCTGTCCAAACTTCGCAAGAATTATCAGTCATTTGAATCCAAACGACATCTCTGCTCCTTGTATGATGTGTTCATTTGTGATGATGCAATCTACCATCTATTACCCAAGTTACTTGGCAAGGCATTCTTCTCAAAGAAAAAGTGAGTGTTTTCTTTACAAAACATGTACGGGCATAAATAGGAATCAATATTCATGCAGAGACAGCAGAACATGATCTATTTATGCATTGTTACATGTGTACTTGCATTAGAGCTAAATTTATTTTAATTATACTTTTTCAAGGCTTCCTAGCAGTACAAAGTAAGATATAGCTTTCAGAAACCACACAATGTGTTTGAAATTCATATCATATTAACAAGACATGTTTAGGATGAAACGTCATCCATCATCAGGTTACAAGAATACCAATAGAAAATGAGCAATATAACACTAAAATAACACAAACTAATTAGTATGAAAAATGATACATTAAGATTTTAAAGAAGGCTGCTCCCAAAGGATGTGCATGGCTTCCTTGATTTTTAATTGGTAGCTGGTGGAAGTCGAGTCAAGAATTTCGAAACATTCTTCTGAACAAAGGGAGTGACAATTATCAGAACCCTTAGGTGTTTAAATTTATGGGTATAATTGTCTGAGTGAAGATGTTTGCGGTGTGGGTGGCAAAGTGTCTGTTGGTTTCGCCAACATAACAGGCACTATAGCCTGCGCACTAAAACTTTTGAATAACTCTAGATCG